TGAAGCAGGATGAAAACGGTGACGTTATGTTTCTTTCTCCTTTCTTTTTTTTAAACGTGAAGCAAAGCGACTTAATTAAAAGCTGCTTGAAGCCGGGCAGGGTCGGGCTTCTAAGTCGATGTTTTACAGGGAGAAAACACGACAGAGACTACATCTAGCAAAGTTTAGTTTGAGGGAAGAAAAGCACATCACTAAAATAATGATCATCTGGTGTTGTATTTTGCTTTATTTTGTTTTAGAGGGGGGGGGGGATAAGACATACAGTTTGAGTTGAGATCATGCGCAGATCCCCATATTCGTTATCGTTCACCCCTTCACTTCCAGGAACACGTTCAATTTCAAATTCCATCAACTGCCAGTCTCATTCCAAACACAACTTTCATTTTTTGTAAAGATCTCCAGTAACATTACTATTCCAGCAATAGAAACAGTGGCGGACTCGGGTGTTACTTTGGTTAGATCATGGTTCACTGGTACGCTGACATTTTATGCAATCTACCCACCTCCCTTCCTCTTTCGATTCCTTAATTTTAGACGCCGTGCCTCCTTGAAAATACCTTCAGCGAGCGAGTCTGAAGCCACACTTGAAGCAAACAACGGCTTTTCGCGAGAGAAGAAAAAAAAAGTCGAAGAGTGAATGCAATATGGACCAGCACGTCAAATTGAAATGAGCAATAATTCATTCCTACCCCACCCGCACCCCCTTTTTTTTTCTCCCTTTCCAAAAAAAGGAAAGGTGAAAAAAAATTCCTGGCTGCCTATAACCTTTCAGCACCCACTACATGAGCACTAACCTTCCCGTCGCTCCCACTAAACACAAACCAGCACAAAAGGAAGGCCTGCGCCGCTGCACACAGCACATGGGCCGCCCCTGTGCTATACAAAAATCGGCACAATGTGCCCGTCGTCCCGTCCATGTATCCGCAAAGAAATAACAATTATCCCCCCCCCCTTCCTGTCGGCCCAAGCATGCTGCTACAGTCGACTCTCATCACTCGATAACAGTGGTCATCGATCTAAAGCTACTGCTGCTCACACAACGTGCCACAATCGGTGATTATTATTGTATTTCTTTTGTTGAACTTTTCTTTCTTTAGGATTTCTG